CCCGGCCCACCGCAGGGGCCCACCACGTGCTCCCGGCCCGCGTCGGGGGCCCCGCGCCCCTGACGGCACTCGGGCCGGCTGTGGCCCCCGCGCGTTACGTAAGCGTACCTGCAGCGGGAACGCGGCCGCCCGGTTGCCCACGTAGCCGCGGACGACGTGGCTCTGGATGGAGAGCACCCGGCACTCCTGCTCCATGCCGGCCTGCCGGGGCGGCGCGGGGCCGGGCGCGGGCGATGGGCGCAGGCGCTCGGCGGGGACGCCAGCCCTCAGTGCGGACCGGAACCTGCCGGTCCCGCGCGGCGCGGCGCCGGGGCGGGGCCTGGGGCGGGGCGTCGCCGGCCCCGCCCCCGGGGCAGGGTGACTCGAAACCGCACCCCCCACGCCGTTCTCTACCCACTCCGCCGCCGCGGCGGCCCACGTCACTCTGCGCTCCTGGCACGTGGGCGGGGGCAGCCGGTCCCCAAACACTGGGTTTGCCCTTCTGGTTTTGCGGGAAGGGCACTGGAGCGTCGCTCGTCCGTTCCAGTCTTTGATTGGTGGATTCGTTCATTCATCCATGCATCAGGTCGGGGGGCCCTGCACCCGGTCTCTTGGGCCACTAGCCCAACCCGCGGAACAGCCATGCAGGAAACGCGCAGGCTCGGCTCCGCGAGTGTGGCCACCGGCCGGGTGACCGCGGAAACAGACGAGGCTGGAAGTGACCGGACCAGTCTCCCACAGCCCCGGGGCGCGCGCAGTGCTGGGCCCCCCACTCCAGAGGTGTCAGGGCCGCCGAGCCCCCTGTCGGGAATCGGATCCACACCTGCCCCTCGGACCAGCGGCGGCCCCGCGCGTGGACCCACGAGCGCCACGCCCGCCCTGAGGACCAAGGACCCAGGCCACCCCCCACTGCCGCGGCGCGCTCGCCCATGGGACGCGGAGCTGACCCACTCGTGCGGCCTTGGGGCCTGCGGGGACCTGGCCTCCCCCAAGAGGCCTGGGGGTGGGGCGGACATCTCCGCAGCGCCAGGAGACCCAGCCCTTCAACCCGGGCCATGTGGCAGGCCCACCGGCCTCAGGGGGCCCCGGCTGCGCACGTGGCCCACGCCCACCCAAGCCACGCCCTGTCTCCACGTTCGGAGACCCGGCCTTCCACCGGGTGGGGGCCCAGCCCAGCCGTCATGACCCTTACCCTTCACGTCCCACTCCCGCCCTCGCCACAGCTGAGCGGCTCTCTGCGGCTTCTCCTGGCCAACCCGCACCCCTCCACCCCCCCAGGTGTGAGACCTCCCGACGTGATTTGGGTCCCTTATGGTGACTCCAGGCAGCATGTTGAAAGCTCGCTAGCCTGGTGAGGAGGTGGAAGCAGTGACCCAACCAGTGCTGGGATGGCGGGGAAAGAAAGCTGTGCCATACGTCGCTGTCCAGGTTTTGAAGAGGACAAAGAGGTAGTTAATAATTGTGAACATTTATTGAGTGCTTACTATGAGCTAGGCGCATGCCACACATTAACACAGGCAATCATGTTAGAAAAACAAAATTCAACCAAGTGAATGTGAAGATCTAATTGGCTTTATCAAGCGATGTGTGAGTCTGGCAGCAGCCCCTGCAGCAGCTAGAAGGGAGTCCCCAGGAGTTGTACAAAGTGGAACTGGGTGAAACGAAGACGTTAACAGGAGGCAGCAGCGCCTCCCCTAAGGTGACCTCACTAGCATGGACCAGTAATTTCCGGACTGGTTGGTTTAAAATCCCACCCCAGGGAGAGGCTGCAACTACAGTTAGGTTAGTTATTAACTTTTGGTTTGGTGACATGGCTTAGCATGAGTGGCTCCATTTTGGATATTGTATCTTGTTTCTTTCCTTTTTTTTTTTTTTTAATAGTCTTCATAAACACCTTATACAGTAGGGGTTAAGGTTCCAGCTAGTGATGGCGTTGCTGGGCGAGAGCCCCTGGAATGCACAGTGGCCGGCGGCACCCGCCATGGCCCTTGCCACCCTTTTCTCACGCCTGCTCTGTGAGGTCAATGGCCCTTGGCTCTTGGGAGGGCTGATGAATCCCTCTCTCTGCAGCGGATCTCACCTCCTCCAGACCTTGATGTATCTCACCCAGGTCCCCCCTCTCCCTGGG